CATTTGCTCAACGGAGATCATTGGAGTACAAACGGCGTACTAGTTTTAGGAAGTGCGAGCTTCCCCATTTGAAGTGTGTTTAGTATTGAAACCCACTACAAAGTCGATTTTAGCTGTCGGGAATCGACAACTAACCATGACAAGGAACTCGGAGCCAAGGACGAGAACAGTAGCAGCTGCAACAGCTCCTATTTAAGGTCAAGGCTCCAACAAAGAGAAAATGGCGATGCCAATATTCACGACCGTCGATGCGCCATGTCTCTTAGGCACGTCGCATGCGGAACTAGTGAAATGGCTGAAAGACCGCCGGAACTACGAAGAGATCGTTCGTGAACGCTGTGCTGCTCACGGCGAGGATGTATCCAAGGTGATGAGAAGCGTCAAGAGCTCGTTCGAGCCCACGCTGTTGGACGTCTGGTGTGACCTCAAGCTGAAGATGGACAAGGACACCGTCACAGACGAGATGCTCATGGAGGAGATCCAGGCAGTCGTAGCGACGGTGAAGAACGGCCTAATACCCAACATACCTGCTTTCTTTAAGAAGGAGTTGAAGCTGGATTTGACTCAGACGGACGTGAGCGAGCGAATCCTTCAGTACTTCAGGCTTTTTCGGCAACTAGTCGAGGAGGAAGGTCTAGAAGGCTGTTTTACGGGGAATGAAGGGGCGAAAGAAAAGTGCAAGCTTCTCGTCTCTTCCATCGAGCCACCCGCCCTCCGAGACAACATCAAGTCGGTCATTAAGTACCAGAACAGAGCTGCTGGTGAAAATGAAAGGGATCTTTTCGATTTGGTGGTGAAGATGGCACTCGAGCAGGACAGGGAGTACCGTAGCCGCAAGAAGGCTAACGCTTCTGCACGCCAATCCGAACAAGACCACCGCAGCAAGTCCAGTGCTAAACAGAAGCGTAGTGGCCAAGACGAAGAACAAGCGTCTAGACCTGGTAAATTTCGACGTTCCAGTGGATCTTTTGCTAGAGATGCCAAGCCTGGCGAGAGCAAGGGCCCACGCGATGGCTGCTTAAAGTGTGGTGGTGCTCATTATGTCTCGAAGTGCCCAGACGCTGGTGAAGAAGTAAAAAAAAGAGCTGCTCCGCTCACTTCGGAGTGAAAGGAAGAAGGAGTCTGGAAGAGATGTGAAAAGGACCAAACGCATTAAGGACTGCCTTGTAGAAGGAGACAGAAGTATTCTCATCAACGGGAAATTGCGGATGCCGTATTGCGCTGACTCTGGCTCAGACAACAGTATTATCGGAAGATCCAAGGTGGAGGAACTTGCTAAATTGGACAACCGGGTGGTGTTGCAACCACTAGAGCAGCCAGTACTGAGCAAGGCTGTTGGTGACCGGATCATTACTGCGAGAAACGTGATTGAGGTGCGGATCCTCATTCACACTGCGGCCGGGCCAGTGACACCGACTCAGCGATTCAAATGTCTAGTGATTGAGGCTGAAGAAGAGGAATTTATCCTCGGTCAAGACATCTTACGTACCCTCGGTATCGATGTCAACCAGCAGCTAGAGCAACTCGCACGATCAACACAGGAAAACGACGACCCTATCGAAATGGATGATGATGCGAGAACTCAGACGTTTACGAGTGCAGAAGTAAAGGAGGCAGTTGAGGGGTTGATTCAACGGGCCCTTGAGAATGGTTTTCCACACGAGTTGGAGGAAAGACTACGCGTCATTTGCTTCATGTACGACGTGTGGAGAATCAATTTGGGGCCGGATCCTCCTGCAAGTGTGCCTCCCCTACGGATTAAGTTGACGGAAGGAGCCAAATCGTACCGGTGTAAACCACGGAAGTACCCGCCACACCTGAGGAGGTTTCTACAAGAGTTCAACGAGTAACTCGTGGAGCTGGGGTGGGTATTTGAGAACCCTAACAGCAGGTGGGCGTGTCCTGCGGTGCCTGTCCGGAAGCCTGGATCGTCCGAGTATAGACAAACGAATGACTACCGTCCTGTGAACGCATTGACAGAGCCATTGGTGGGTCTAATGCCAATTCTCCAACTCATAACGGAACATGTGAGGGGCATGAAGCATTTTGGACTGTTTGATTTCATTCGCGAATTCTGGCAATTGCCACTGGAAGAGGGCTGCCGTGAAGTGTTGTCGTATATGACGGACCAGAAGATCTACACTCCCACACGAGTGCCTCAAGGATGCAGTGATGCAGCACTATACTTCCAGAGAACAATGGAAGACTGCTTTCGGAAATTACTGTACAAACATCTTTTAGTGTGGGTGGACGATTTATTGCTGTTCGCTGCGGATACCGAAACTTACCTGAAGAAACTTCAAGAACTGTTGGAACTGATGGACTACTTCGGCTTGAAGCTCAGTGCAAAGAAGACAAGTCTCTATCAAACTACTGTGAAGTGGTGTGGCAAGCTGATCTCGGTGATGGCGTCAGGCACGACCCTGAACGCATCGAAGCACTCAAGCAGGTACCAGCACCGACTACAGCAGGAGAACTTCAGCAGTTTTTGTGCGCTACCGGATGGATGCGCGACAGCATTATCGACTATGCTCGAACTGCAAGGCCCCTACAGTAGCTTCTTGACACCGCCCTGGAGAGCACGAAGAAGACAAAGCGAGTCGCTGCGGGGATCTCATTGGTAATGAACGAGCAGGAACTCGAGGCTTTTAATGCTTTGAAGGAGAGTTTGTGTAACGCAGCGATGTTGGCTCACCCCGACGACGAGGCAACGATTTGTCTTTTCACGGACGCTTCCGACGTTGGTTGGGGAGCTATTGTGACACAAGTGAAGGACTGGGAGGAGGATAGCCGTGTTCCTGATCAATCTCACGAACTACTGACATGCATGGGTGGAACTTTTTCTGGTGCTCAGTTGAATTGGAGCGTCATTGAGAAAGAAGGGTTTCCGATTGTGGTGGCTTGTGAGAAGTTGGATTATTTGTTGTTGAGGCCACAAGGCTTTAAACGTTTTTTTGCGATCACCGCAATTTGATCCACATATTCGCGCCATCGGTGGAAATGAAGAAGCACGTCAGAGGGAAATTACTGAGGTGATCTTTGAAGTTACTGGAGCATCGCTACGTTATCGAGCACATTGACGGCGAAATGAACGTTTGGGCTGACCTAATTTCGAGGTGGGGAGGTTCTCCACAGCCTACGAGCAAGATCTACCGTGTGCAAACCCGTAGCGACCAGGAACCGTTGCAGATCCGACCTCTAGACGATGATCAACTGCAGTGGCCTTCGCTGGATGATGTTCTTGCTGCACAAAGGCAGCACGCACGCTCGCTGCCTGCCGTTTAATTGGTCGAGGATGAACATGGACTACTGAAGACCAATGGTAAAGTGTGGATTCCATCTCGAGCTACTGAACTGTTACGACGAGTCTTCATCGTAGCCCGTTGTGGAGCGCAGGGACACCGCGGACGCCAAGCGATGGAACTCCAGCTCAACCGCTTTTGCTACGTTGATTACTTTCGAGCTTCTGTGGATAAATATCTTTCTCGTTGTCTACTCTGTCTTCATACAAAAGGGGGGAAGGTGATACTGAGGCCATGGGTAGAAACATTCAGAGCAGAGAACAGAAATGAAGCCCTTCATTGGGACTTTGTTTATTTGGGTGAGAGCTTTGGGCCTAGCAAATACCTGTTGGTACTGAAGGATGACTGTACTCACTTCTCGGAGCTGGTCGTCTGTGATTCACCGACAAGTACTGTTGCAGCGGAAGCACTATTGGCGTGGTATAGTCGTTATGGAATACCCAAGATGTGGATCAGTGACAATGGAAGTCATTTCAGAAATGAAGTGATTGGTGAGTTGTGTCGGTGGCTAAGAGCAAGCAGGAGTTTACGGTGGCCTATTGTCCTTGGATCAACGGATCCATTGAGCGTCTCAATAGAGACATCTTGAAGATGTTTCGGACGATGCTACTCGACTACAAGCTCGACACCAAGGACTAGATAGCACTGGTGCCGCTTGTCCAGGCGAACCTGAACCACATGGCTGTACCTTCACTCGGTGGACGTGCGCCAGTGGAGATGTTCACCGGTTTACCGTGCCCATCACCGCTTGAGGCGATATTCGTGGACACTGACCAAGGTCCAAAGAATATTCCGGTAGTGAAATCGAGTGCTACGTGTGAACAGCAATTATTAGAGCTCAAAGAGAGTGTTCAGGAGATGCACCGACAAATGAAGGATCAGCGTGCGAAGCAGACACTGTTGAACCAAAAACAAAGGCGTGGTGAACAGCTGGTGAATTTCTCCGTGGGAGATTACGTGTTGAAGTCCCGTGTTGATGAGAAGGTTGGCAATAAGTTGCTGGTCACATGGATTGGACCGTTCGTCATCACACGCGCTGACTCACATTCGTTTCGCGTGAGAAACCTCATCAGTGGGAAAGAGAGCGACGTACACGCATCGAGACTCAAGTTCTATGCGGATAAAAGTTTGAACGTCAACGAAGAACTGTTGGAGCACGTAGCCTCACAGGGCATCGTACTCAAAGTGGACGGGATCCGTGATCATCGTTGGAACGACCGGATCAAAGACTACGAGCTGCTGATGCATTGGCATGGTTTGGGGGCTATTGAAGATTCGTGGGAACCTATGAAGTCTGTGCGCAAGGACGTGAGGCTCATGGTGGAGAATTATGCAAAGCAGACCAGTGATAACGATTTCACGGCAGCAGTAGTATCGGTGTAGCAGAAGCGCACAAGAGACCACGTGGTGAACATGGGCAAAAAAGACATCGATAGGCTGATGGTCTAAGGCCACGGAAATGTTGAAACCCGATTGCGATGGACTGCATTTGGCGAGATTAGCCTCGGGGGGAACTGTAGTGGGAGATGGTCTAGATGTAGAGCCAAATCTCGCTCACAGGAGTGTACTGGAGATAGGACTCCAGGTACACTAGCTGGCGGTTAGGAATTCAACAAGATAGTTCAGGGTTGAATTAGAAACGGGTTCTGGTTGAAGGCAACCAGAACAGGAGTTAGTTTAGTGGAAAGGAAGTGCTCCAGCCAAGGTGCTGTTCACTTTTCCATTTGCTCAACGGAGATCATTGGAGTACAAACGGCGTACTAGTTTTAGGAAGTGCGAGCTTCCCCATTTGAAGTGTGTTTAGTATCGAAACCCACTACAGACATCGTTTTCAGATGTCTCCGCTCCAAGCTGGTTGAAAACTTCCCATTCCCACTTGAAGCGTTTGCAGATATATTGAGCGAGTTGCTGGACGAAACAAATGGTAGCTTGCGTCTGCCAGACGCCCACGAGGGTCTGCATTTGGATATAACGCGATATTTCTCCGCCTTGCGCGCAACCGCGCAACCATAGTAACGCACGTGTTGCAAGGTTCTAGCAGCGTTTAGGAAGGAGATTGGGAGGAAAATGGCTGCGTAAGCTATGGGACAATAAAGGTATATCTAGAACGCAATCTAGAGGGCACCAAAGAAAAGATTCCCCTCCAATTGATGAGCGAGAATGTCCATTGTTGCTTACGCCGAAAGCAGAAATGTGCTGAGAATGCGCTACACGAGTTTTGGGTGTCACACGGACAGGGGAAATGGGCGTACGTTGTCCGAGTTGTGTTTTGTGGTGCTGCGTATTGAGTGTCACTGGAAGGAATATGCGATAGAGCTCAAGAGTTCAGTAGTCCTATCAAGGACTGGTGAAGATAGCGCAGATATTCATCTCGCCCAGGTGGATCAAGTTTGAATTTAGCAACAGCTACAAAGTGCAGCTTCAGAAATTACAAGCTACGTACCATGACTTGACGCTTGACAAGTGATATGAGAGCTGTCCGTGAACGGAAGGGCACTCTTGATGGTAAATCTGACAATCTGAACGGCGATGTAGCCGGGCTAACTCATGTTCTACAGGACGCAGGTATCCCATGACGTCGACGTCTTGCGCATAACTTCTAGATGCTTTTATTCTAGAACTTAATTCTGACAACATACATCTATCCATCTACTCCGGGTTACTAAATTCAATTAAGCATGGCTAACAGCATGATTTAAGGCCAGTTTTGCGACACACTAACCAGTTCTACAGAGAAGACACTAGCATCGCTACGGTGGACGAAGTAGTTCATAATATCAACACTGCATATTTTTATCGTACGGGAGTACCAACGGCATGCCCCCAATAGTATTGGAGCCCGAACAATAAAAATCTGCATTTGAAAATATCTTGTGTTTGAGAGTTTCATTCTCTAATCGCCAACCTAGTTTTTGTATAAACGATACAGCAACGTCAATTCACGTACACATTGGACATGGGTCGGCACCCTGCTTGGTCACATCTCCCAGCTTACCAGTTAGGGGATAACACTGCCTCGAGAATATAATATGCTGAAAGTTTCAATTTTTAAAGACATGACTTTGCATTTCTATACACGACGCACTTTATGTTCTCAAACTCTTAGCGGTGGTTCTCAATATAGGGTACTTGTCGGAAGCACTCGAAATCGTGGAAACCACGGCACTGGGAGATCAAATGGCGAGAAAATGACAAGCGCTGTCTGAATTGTAAACTACCTCGGCATTTTCCCTTACCAAAACACTAAAACTCTCATGATTCATAGAATGATATGTCACAGAAAGTGGCCGGATCACTGAATAATAACTCTCAGTTTGGTGACGACATGAGATTTTTACGAGATTAAAATGGAACCAAGTATGAAATCATTCGCTAATCAGTCCGTGAAGGCGCATGGTCAACGGGTACACTGAAGCCGTAAGCGCATTCTCATCAAGTTGGACACGAGTGCCGAACGGAGATGTTACAGAGAGGAAACAAAGGTGTCCATGGCTGATTCCCTGTGGAGCAGAGCCAAAAAAGCCAGCGTCGACGACCAGCGAGACGGGTGAGCATCGTACACTCGAAATGTGGTGGGGCGTGGTGCAATGGACAAGGCGTGGGTGCTGCAGTTAAATCACCCCCCCCCCCCCCCCACACACACACACACACATATTCTTATCCACGTTGCCGGATGAGGCGCCCTCCCGCGGATCTGTGAGGCACAATTCGGTCGCTAGAGAGGACTTTGATAAAGAAATGTTCTGGGCCTCGTAGAGACGACGATGACTTAATCTAAGTCGACCCACAGCCTCGAAGCGGCTTAAGCACCCTCTTTGTGCAAATTATGAAGCGGAAGATAAACAATTGGATTTTTTCTTATAAAGTGACAGTGTACAATTGTGAAAACGCTCCGAGGTCAAGATGTTCGATACGTTCTGGCCTAACGATGAGTATGGCAAATATGCTGTCGGTACGGACATACAAGGACTCTGCAAGTTCAATACATTGAGATGTGCAGCGGAATTAGCTGGACGCCCTGATATAGTGAAGCAACAGGACATTGACGACTTTGTGGAGCATCAGGAGACTTCTTGTGGAGAGGAATTAACACATGGCACATCGTGGAAGGGCGTTATCGTCTTCTTGCGTCGTCTACGTGATGCTGGGCGTGATTTCATCTACATTGTTATTGCTTTGGACAATTCCGCGGTTGCTGGACGGCGTGGCGTGGGTGGGCTTTGGAAGATCAATCAAGGATGGAGTGTATGGTGTTGCAGCTTACAACCATCAAAACGTCGGTCACGCTTTCGTTCTCGCAGCTCAGGACAAGAACCGGCTTTATCTACAATTTGGAAGAAGGTAAGCCGATTGAGTCAGCGGAGGACTGGATTGATTTCTATGTTTTTATTCGTCCATCCATTGTCTTCAAGCAGGAGTAGATGATAAGAGTCAGTAGGATTTCCGCGGGCTTGCCTAACTGACAATGAACTTTTCCAGCAAGCATGCGTCTTTGTGCATTGAAACTAGTACTTATGCCTCTTAAATTCAGTACTTGACCGAAGAACGTCACTGAGGGAAAACCTTTAGCATTAAACTATAAACCCAGTGATAAAAAGAACGCGTTTGAGAAGTATGCTTCATGCATTGATGTTATACTCGTACATTATACGGAATGACCAGGTTGGGCTTCAAGGCTTGTATCGTGAGCTTGGTCCTTAGTTCACGGAACTGGCGTTTGTCTAATGCTTTGGAAAGATGTCAGCTATCATTGACTCGATGTTGTAAAAGGCGATGTTAAATTCGTGCCGTTTCACCTTCTCCTGTATAAAACAGTATCTGACATGAATGTGTTTTGACCTTCCGTGATGTTCGGGGTTGTAACAGATTTTGATGCAGCTCTGGTTACCCCCGTAAATAGTATTGGCTTGCGTTGTGGCAAAGCCTAACTCTTGGAGGAGGAGTTTAAGAAATGGCATCTCATGCATGCAGTGGTATAATGCAATGTATTCTGCCTCAGTCGCAGATAGAACCACAGTGTGGTGCTTGCGCGAAAGCCACGACATTGTAATACTGATAACATCGTCACATATCCGCAGACGGAGCGCCTCGTATCAGGACAATTGGCATAGCCAGAGTCACTGTAGGCGATCAGCTTGTTACGTAAATTCTCTGTTGTGATATCAAGCGCTCCACCAAGAAGAAGACCAAAGTTCTTGGCTCCCGATAAATACTTGATACCTCTTACGGCTGCTTTCCAGTGCTCCATTCCTGGATTAGCTAGAAATTGACTGAGCTCACGCATGTAAAATACCATGTCAGGTCGCGTTCCTACCATGGGATACATAGCACTACCAATAGCTTTGCGGTATGGAATGTTATTCATCGCACCTTTCTCTGCCTCACTGACAGGTTGGCTGCTTATGGAGAGTTTAACGTTCCGTTATGCTGGGGTTGCAATAGGGTATGGAATGTAGTTGCTGAAGCGATCAATGACCTTGGTAGCGTACTTGTGTTGGTGGATAAAGATCGTTCGGTTCTTACGGACTCGTTGAATAGACCAATCGAGTAAGTACTTCATCTCCCCTAAATCTGCCATTAAAATTTTCTTTTCCAGGGCTGATTTAAGCTTGCTGACGAGTGCTGGTGCAAAGGTCGTCAACATAGCCTGCTATGTTGCAGGTGACTCTGTTGCACGTGCGGCAAAAGACACATGTGTCTTTAGTGAGTTTGCAAAGCCCTAGACTCTCAAGGAAGGCAGACAACGTTTTATACCAGATACGGGGAGCTTGTTTCAACCCGTAAAGACTCTTTAGCAGTTTGCACACTAGGTGCTCCTTACCCGGAATTTTGAAACCTTCCGGTTGAGCCATGTAGATCCCTTCTTCTAGGACTCCATTTAGGAATGCTGTTTTGGCGGATTTCAAGATCGAGCAGGGCTGCGATCGTAAGAAGGAGTCGGAGTACTTCTATCCTGATAACAGGTAAGGAAATCTCGTTTTAGACAATGCCATATTCCTGAAGGAGGCCTCTAATGACTAGACACTCCTTAAAGCGGTCGATTGCGCTTCGAGCCGGTATATATAACAAAACCCCATCGGCTTGTGAGAATTTTTCTTCCTTTTGGAGGAGATACCAACACTCAAGGGAAGGGACTTATATTCAGATTTAGCCGCATTATGCCGCTGACTAGCGTGAGCGGATTTCATTACCGATTGATACGTAGTGGGCTTGGATACATCCCGAATAGCTAATAATGTGTACAGCAACGTTTGACGCCGCTTCTGCTCTTGAAGATCTTCCTCAGCATTGAGGTTACTTCCGTGTCATTTGTGAAACGGGGTCGCTTTTGGTGCAGTAGGAGACGGAGCATCAGGCGTCGTCTCTCCTCGAGAGAGTAGTACACTTCATGGCTGCCAACTGGCTCCCTAATCGAGGGTAGTACGCGCGTAGGAGATGAATCTGCTGTCGTCGCTATGACAGGTGCTGGTAACGGCTTAGGTGATGAAATAATCACAGGTGAAGGAATAACTACTGGGTCTGGCACAGATGCACAAACTTGTGCTGGGGCAGGTACGACTATTGGGGGGGGGGCAGGTGCTTTCCATTGAGTTTGTACTCCCAGAAGCGGCTCAGATGTTGGTGATAAACCAGCTAGAGGGGGAAATTCGTCCTCTTTGAAGCCTACGTCGCGACTGCAGACAATAGCGTGAGTATGGATGTCCATCGTGCGGTATCCTTCCTTGTGACCGGGAATACCTAGATACATGCGCAACCGACCTCGGGATCGAGCTTGGCTCGGTATTGCTTTGTGATATTTTACACTTCAGCCAAACACTTTTTGATGTAGTCCATAGATGGAACCCGTCTGTACCAAAGAGTCATATGGAGTGCGGTCATCAGTCTTACTACTGGGCGTCAATTAATCAGAGTAGTTACATGACATATAACCTCAGCCCATAGCATATGCTTAGGTAGTTTGCCGTCTAGCAACAAGGCTCTAACACGCTCCATTATAGTACGCATTCGGTGTTCTGCAACTCCGTTTTGCTGTGGGGTATACGCGTTTGTGAACTGCGTATGTGCCCCATACTTTTGGACGGTGACGCGACCAAGTGTCTCGTGTGCTTTGGCAATTATCCGCCTGAAAGACCTGTATGTCGTGGCAGTCCCATATACGAGTGTACAGAAAGGCTGTGACATCCCGTCTGAAAATTTTCAGGACTTTCTTTCTAAAGTCTTCGTAGCACTCATAGAGTTCACTACGATTTTTGATAGGGTAAGTGAACATGAATCGAGAAAAGTCATCGATAAAGATAAAAAAAAGTAGCGCCACCAGTAAGACTAGGCAGGTAATGAAATCGGAATACACCTTTGTCAAATGATATGTGGCACGTTCAGCAACTCTATTAGAGCGTGTTCGCTTTGTGTCCTAGATGGAGATCGCAGTAGAGAAAGGCACATATCGTCTTGATCTGCGTTCGCTCCAGCTCCATCTCCACACATCATTTTAACCAATAGCAAACTATTATTGTTCGTGCACCACTCTGGCTTCGCAGACACCAAGACACCAAGACACCAAGACAGCTTCATGATGATGGCCCGCAAGCAAGCTCCACAGACACAGTACACGCCGCTTTCTCCTTCGCAACTGTCGGAAGATGCTGATCTCCGTCAAGTTGACGACCGGGTATCATTGAGCGTAGGGGATTACGACCCTGGGACGTTTGTTCAGCTCGCCCAACTTTCTTCGGCGCCGACCGCTACACCGGCAGACTCACGGCAAACCATGGAGCGTCAAAGTGCAGTTGCCTCTTTAAGTGTCGATGCAGCGGGGAAAGCACTTACTGCTGGTGGTAGTGCTGCTAGCGAAGGGCCAAATGCTGCGCAAGAGCCCCCCACTACCTTTGCCTGGACACCGAAGGCTGCCGAAGCGCTATTGCGTGTGCGCTACGAGACGATGCGTGACCGCTTTCATCGCAATAAGAGTGCGAAGCAGCTCTCCATTGCTTGAGGGCTTGTGGCAACGGAGACCTCGCGACTTGGCGGGCTCATCGTCGACGCGAAGCAGTGCAAGTCAAAGGTACTGTACGACTATTGACGTGTTGCCGACCAATTGCAATTTGAACATCAATGTAAACGTATTATGCGATCCCAGCTTAAGCACATGCACAAGCAGTATACAGCGTATCGTGTCGCTGAAGGAGCTACGGGTAACGCTACCGATAAACCATTGAAGGAGCCGCCATGCTTTGCTACGATGTGTGAGGGCTGAACAACATTGCTGAAGCATTTAAAGCGGCAAGGGTGCAGAACACAGAAAGCCAAAGCAGCGACGTTTTGAGCTCCTTGAAGGAGTTAACGGAGACAGTTCGATCCCAGGCGCGTAGTAGCGAGGAAATGATGAGCTCTGTTCAGGAGCTGACGCACACAGTGCATGCCCAAACGCTGGCATTGAATAATTTGGTGCAGCTGCTTGCTGCAAACAACAGCACCTCGCAGCGTGAGTGACTGGACTATTGCATCATAAACGCAATAGTAGCAAAGCAAACAGATTGATTTCCCAACAAAATAAATGCTCTATTACGGCCAAAGGAAGCTAGCAATGGCATTCCGCTTCGGAATAGCGACATCTCGTTGGCGGCTCGAGCACGTGGTGTCATCAAAATTAATCTCGTCGTCATCTTCCTCCACGTATCGAGGAATCACAGCAGCATCTCGAAAGCTAATGAACAGATTGTGTAGCACTATCGTAGCAACAATTACATCGCTTGCTTCACGAGGCGTCTCCTGGTTGAGCGGACATTGCAAAATCCGAAATCTGCCCTTCCAAACTCCAAATGTGCTTTCGACTGCCATTCGCGTACTTGAGTGAAAAAAATTGAACTTGTTCTGACGCTCTGTCAGCGACCCACCTTCTTCCCTATCGGAGTATGGAACCATCAATCCAGGCGATAAGGCATAGCCAGCATCACCGATAAAATGCGTTCCTGCAGGAATAATGCTGAAGTGGTTTCGACCGATGGTGCTGTGCTGCCAGCATTTGCGGTCCGACCACGACCCAGGACGCAACTCAACACTCAAAAAAAAATTGTCCATTGTCACGATTGCTTGAACATTCAGCGCAGGATAACTCTTACGACAATAGAAGCCATCAAAATCATCAGGGCGCTCTATCTGAATTAGTGATCCGTCAATGGCCCCAACAACGCCAGGATAGCTGTGGCGTATTGCAAACGCGTCTTCAATAGCACTCCATCTGCTACGGTCACGCGGGAACGAAATTACTCGACACGCTACCAGCTTCAACACGCGAATCACTTCTGCAGTAATTTCCTTAACATAGCTTCGTGACATCCCCATAGCGGCACCAACCTCACGATAACCGCCAGCAGATCCTAGAAAGTAGAGAGCTGCGGCGATTTTCTTTTCGTAAGAATGTTGGCGAACCTTCGCGTTAGCAAACCGAACTCCATGCTCTTGTAGAAAGCGTCCTAGCTGTAGAAACGTCTCCTTCGTACAGCGCATGTTATCCTCAAACCAGCTAGCATAGGCTGCTGATTGCAGCATTGCGTCAAAAGGCAAATACGTCACGGTAAGAATTTGTGAAGGACTCCTCCGAGGAAACGGCGCTCTATCACTCGCAATTGATGCCATGGCGTGCCCTACAGCAGCACACACAACTAGCACTAGATCGTCGTCGTCCATTGATCAAATGTGCTTATCGCCACTCCTCAGTTATCTCCAGCTAAAATTCTCCCTCTCCACCTCTCGGAGGTGGAGACAACATGTACAGAAAAAGTTAATTCTTCTCCTGCTGTGTTGTCGACATCCTTCGCATTTAATCCAATCAGAGACGAGAAAAGATGGTAAGGCGTGGTCGTCTCCATCTACTGCTGCAAAGCGAACACGCTCTTAGAATAAAGTGGTGAAGGTGCTACGGAGTCATCGAACCCGTGTAGAGCTTGGATCCTGGATAGGTCGCGCGAAACACGAACGTTAGGATATCCAAGCCGTTTGTGTAAAAGCAGAAGTGATCGTTGCTTACCTAATGCAACCAGTGCCGTTGAGGTCACTGCGGACCTGGCTTGAAACTGATACAGGTCCGAATTGCTGGTCTTCGGCGCTTCGAACTTGAAGCGCGTGTCCGTCTGCACAGCACACTGCTTGCGATCGAAGTTGGAACCGAAAGTCCTGTTTCACGGCCGCTTGAACTGACAGCAGGCTGAAGTGCAGTTGTGGAGCATACAGAACCTCTTCAAGTTCAAGTCGCTTCGAGTTTTCCTTTGGAGTCAACGACTTCCAGATCAACCCGACCACTTCCTTCTATCGGCGTCTGGTTGTCCCCGCCAACCGTAATGGATCCATCACCGCTGGTGATCTTGGTAAACCATTGAGATTCGTGGGTCACATGGCTGTGCATCCAGAGTCGATCGTTCAGGTTGGCTCAAGTCCTACCTCGGCTTGAGCGGTTTGGCTCAGTGGGGGTGGTAGCAACAGCGATGAATCCAGTCCCACGGCATCCTTCACCACACAAATTCTGGTTGCTGGAATTGTCGTCGTCGTCAGACTCTAGCCGACGGTTCTTGTGCAGATTTTGATCACGCTGCTTATCACCGCTTCCTTGCTTCTGGCTGCCATCCCCATTGCAGTGTTTGCTTCCGTTGTTTCGACCGCCTTTCGAGTTGCGATAAGGGAGATCACGCTTCAAGTTTATCTTGAACGCAAATTTCGCAGGGAGAACCGTTCCATCCTTGACGCGTCCATCACCTAGGTCCCTTTGCTGATCGCGACACTGACGGATATTGTGACGTGGGCGAGCACAGTACGAGCAGACGTTGAAGTCGTTATTGACGTGGGTGTAGACATGTTGAGGTCCGGTGGCTACCAACGTTTGCTCCCCCTTCGTAGTAGTCGTCTCAGATGTGTCATTGGTCAACATGCAGCGCTCATGAGCTTGAATGTCACGAACCTTGCTCTCAATGCTCTGCATCAGGTATTCGTAAGGGATATAGTTCCGTTGGCCCTTCCAGATTCTGAGGTCGTCCTTCCAAGACTTGGGAATCGAGATAAATAGGTAGATCGACTTCTGTCTTGCAGTTACCACCGAATCGGTGACTTCTTGCGCGGCTTTCATCGCGTTTTTGAGCGTTAGAAATAAATCGGTCAAGTTGAAGTCTTCTGCGTACTTGATCTCCATGAAGTAGTTTGAGTCGCCGTGAAAGGCCGCTCCCTCATACTTCTGACTGATGGGCTTGAATATCTCGTAGGAAGTCGTAAGGTTCTTGACAAGTCGAACATGAGTGTTGTCCATGATCTTCATCAAGAGGCTTTCGTCTTGGGTTCTTGACGGCGACTCTCACGCTGACTAAGTGTCTAACGCTTCACTTTGCGCTTGCGCCCTTGGCGATGGCCGAATGAGCGAATCGCAGGTAAGTCTTCGCGCTCGGTCGGTGTGTCGATGTTATCACCAGAGTCTTCGTAGGAGTCGGACTGTGGCTTGAGGTCTTCGTCACTTTCGTCGTGGTCTACTGCATCGGAGTCGACTTCGGCGCTCTGAGCTGGCTGTGCTTGGATGTATCGTCCTTATCAAACAAGTCGCTCCCGCTTTCTTCACTCTCTTCATCGGAGATGCCGTCGTAGTCGGGCTTCTTCGCATAGACGTGGAGACGTTTATCATCGAGGGTTGCGCACGCGCGAGTCTTCCAAACGTCGAAGTTCTCGACGCCAACGAGGCATGGAAATTTGTCGCTCGTGGATTGACTTGGGTTCATAACCTATGGCGTGATTAGCTAGTGATAAAAGAGAACGTAGAGAGAAGAGTTGTGTTGAGGAAACGTCAAAGACGGAGTGAGGATCCTTAGACTTAAGAAGTTACTGCCAGCTACGCACCAGCCATTAGAGTCGACGCGAGTCGATTATACGTATAATAACACCAGTCATAACGACTAAAGGAGGACCTATTAGATCAGATTATAATCTGTTATAGAGTTTCTGTTGTGAGTAACCAGAGGCTACTTCGACAAGAGGCAAGTCTCGCTAGTAATCTCCCGCGCATGCATTGAACACAATAGAGTGGTTTAGCAGAAAGCTACGAACGTGTGACGCCCAGTTTTTTTTTTTTTTGCGAGGTAGGCCAGAGACGAGCGTCACACGTTCGTTCAATTAATGTAACTACGACTGATAAACTTTCTACAAGTTGTTTACAATAGCGTATATAAATGTATACTCATCCAGCATTGTATTCGAAAACTGTATAGCACAATTTGGTGGAGCACAGTCCACATCTTGCAGCAGGAGTCACCAGCCAGCCACCGATGATGGAGTCTTCTCGCCCGACCAAGAAGCGCAAGATACAAGTCCTATTTGACGACAACGACGCGTACGCCCCGCACCTCGACGGGCTCCATATGCCGCATTCAAGAGAGAGCAGCCCGCTGCACTTAGCGTAGATGAGGTCCACCATGTAGCGAAAGATCAGGCACAGAGCCGTAGTTGACCTGCCGAACATCACCCCAAGATTCCCGTACCGCCCGGGGTATGCAAACCGGCGCAACATCCTCAACTCCACCAACAGGAAGGCGGCTTGGTAGTTTGTAGTCTTCTTCAAGCCGTAGCGACTTGTGCAGGCGAATTACGCCACGCTTCCAGAACCGGAAATTAAAACGACAGTCTCCGTCGCTTAATGCGTTGAAATTGAAGTTGCCCTTCAGTGCGAGGACGGGCCTTGGCACAGGGGTTGGGCGATGAGCAAAGCGGCGTCCTACGAGGTCCAGCATAGCTACTGTGAGAACAAAGCTCTCCTCGAGCATCTTGACTGACTTGTGTGCTTCGTGAATGAAGTGTACAACTAGGAAAGAGGGTAGCCTCGCGTTCGCTTTGCTAAATGCATTGCTGGTCAACCAACGTGTGGTGATGTGTGATCAGGGTTGTGTAATTGGCGCCAGTCTATAACTCGTACACGTTCCTGCTGCTAAACCACTCTAATATTGCAATAGTAAAAACAATCCCTACACGACGCGAGTCGTAAAAGGTGTTCTGAATTTTCAAAAATCTCCAAAAAATATTCTCTCAACTGGTATGCAACGCGGGGCTCGAAGCGAACACCGCGCGGTTTGCTATGGCTACGCACCACTCACCTTAGCAACAACAAGCAAAATTAAGGAATATTGGGGGGAAAATCCAAATTTTGATTGGACTGTATTCCCAGACCAAAGCATTGCCTCTAGTATGGATTCGGGTTGCCTCATATCAAAAACGCGATCTTCTATTAAAATCGTCACACAACTCGACCTAGACGATAGCTTATTGAGACTCCGTCAGCAACTGGTACGCGTAGTAGTGGGCTCCACGTTCGCCCAAATCCTCGTTTAGGACCAAGTAGATGGGGCAAGCCTTGATGGCAGGACTCACACGACCCTTGTCGAACACAGACTTGAGGAAAATGTCCTTCTTAGTGAAGTAGTCCAGGTTCTTGGGGGCCAGACCACCCGTGATGTAGAAGCCACCGCGAGGCAGATACTTGAGCATCGCGTTACCAGCCTCACGGCCATACGCACCCACGAAGATCTCCAGAGTCTGGTTGCACAGCTCGTTCGTCTTGGCGTTCTCACCGATCACCTTGCCCTGCTGCGTGTTGGCAGTCAGGAACTGCTCGTGCACCTTCGGGTCCACCTTCTCGGGGAACTTCTTGGCCAGGAACTCGTAGATCGTAGCCAGACCAGGGCCAGACACAATACGCTCCACCGAGAAACGCTGACTGCAGCCCAATTTCGTCTTGATCTCGTTGTACAGCTCGATTTCAATTTCGTCGGCAGGTGCAAAATCGGTGTGGCCACCTTCGCAGGCGAAGCACGAGTACTGGCCGTCCATACCAGGAGTCAGAAAGCACTCGCCAAGACCGGTACCAGCGCCAATAGTGGCCATAGGAGCAGTCTCGTCCTTAGGAGCGTCATTGAGCACAATGTACTCGTGTGGGCGTAGTGTAAGCAGACCGTAGCCCATCGCGGCGAAGTCGTTGATCAGACGAACCTTCTTGATGCCCAATTCCTTCTCAAGACCAGGACCATCGATCTTCCAGCCGAATTCGACGTTTGTAAAGTCAACCGTGTTCTTGAGAATGGGACCAGCGCAAGCGAGTACGCAGGCTTCAGGGATCTGGTCCACGAGCTTTGCTTCGTTTAGGAACAAGTGGCAGACTTCGGCGAAGCTGGCGTAGTCCTCGTTCAGATACTTTTTGGAGAAGAGCATCGATCCAGGGGCGATATCACCCTTGGTGTGCTTGGAGTCCTTGGGGATATTCCACAGCGATAGACGCGTGTTGGTGCCGCCGCAGTCACCGGACATGATGAGATCAGTAGCCATGATGCTTGAGTGATGACTTGTTCTTACGCCTTGAGCTCTGGTAGGTGGATTCGGAAATGAGGTCGGCATTGACGATCTTTCAAATCGCATACGATGCTGCTTTGTGTGCTGCTTTGTGGATGGGTACGTGGCGTTGAACCAAAGCAGTGGTTCAAGTTGGCACGCTATCATTAGCCTGTAGCTTCTGGGGCTTATGAGCCAATTCCGGCAAAAAACTTGGATTCTATTCGCTGAGGATTGGTGATTATGCGCAGCCTCAACTTCAGTTTCGTATTTATGCAGCGCCTTGTTTCAACGTTACTGTACGCGAGCAAACCAGCATGGCGTCAAATGCACCAGTTCATTCACGAAGTACATGTCGAATGCTCATTTGGCTGCGTTCTGCTCGTGTAAGCATGTCAACTACGCATTTTTTGCAGTTTGAGAGCGATTCAATCGGTATAGACAAGGGAGGTTTAATGAGTCCGAGCGTATGAATACTCATGCGCGCTCACCTCGAGAGGTCTATGCACTACTTGCAGTTGAATACGCCAGCTCGTTTCTCTCAGCGGAGGACATCAGTCACCATGTTGCCTACTTCAGTCGCTATGCCAATTGAGATGCCACCCTGATCATACTGACTTGAAGCGGGATTAAGGCCTCCCCCCATACACACACTCAGCTAAGGAACATGTATTGTAGCGCGGTGAAAAAACTATAGCTTAAAGTTGTTGAAATGTGCATTGGAAGCTTACACTTCGACAAACTCGCTTACTGAGGACTTGGAATCCATATCGACTACCGATTCTTGGCGCACCACCGACACGACAGCGGCCGGTGCACTCGGCTTCGGACCAGTTTCGTTCGCGCGGTTGCTGCTGTTAGCAACCTTTGCTTGGCCGACGACAATCTTACGTGCTACACCTGGGCCGTGGTCGCGCTTACTAACTTTGCTCAAGTTCGACGTCATCGAAGCGATGTTGCGCACACTGGAAGCAACACTCCAGGTCATCACCCAGTAGCAGAAGAGCAATGAGCCGTGCGATGCTAGGATAGCTGCCTGAGACCCCTTCATTACAAGACCGCCGTCTCCCATCCCTTCAGCGTTGAATGTGTAGCTGGCTGCTCCCATGCCCGAGTAGTGAGTACCGCAAACAGCGATGCCCATAATAAGAGCACTGCCCAGTCGAAGCAGCTCACTGTCCTGGAAAAATGTCAACTGCACTTAAAATGTTAGTTTTTACTACCAACAATTGTTAGCACACAGCGCTTACCGCTCGGAAAAGGATCCAGAACGCCGCCGTCGCCGTGAAGAACGCGATAAGAACAGACAATACCACAAGTCCAGCGGTTAAGGTCATATCAGCGTGCGTTCGCTGGGCCATCATGCCCAGATAATGCATGACGAGCACACCGAGAGCAGCAAATAACCCTCCACCGGCGATCCTGGGTAGACGCGAGAATAGTGCAATAAACTTAATGCGTTTCGCAACTTTCTGCTTGTTAACAACGTCTGACATGGCTGTTGATGCCAGATCTTTCACCTATAATGACAAAACCCACAGCAATAAGTACAGTGAATCTACTTTAGTTGCTAACCTCGAATACTGTACCAGAATGCTTTTGCGTTTCTCCTGTTCGAGCTCGAGGAAGAATGGATCAGCAGAGGCAATTTTTAAACCAACGAAGACCCCACCAACGGCACATATGAAGGAAAGTATCGTCAGGCCAGCCTCAAAGTCCACCGTGAGCACCGATCCATCTTCTCGCGACAGCTCGAGTGCGTTCATGCCAGTGAAATGCATACACCAAATGCCACAACCACCCAATGCAATTGATGATAGCAACATGAGAATAAACTTGTCCCTAGTATCAATGGCACTGCGCCACTTCTCCATCAACTGGATCGCTGCAAGTAAGTGAGCGAGTGAGCGAATCAAGTAGAAATTCAAAGGAATCGTTGAATTGCATACTGCAGAAACTTCCGGTGATAGCAATCAGATACGATAGGAAGATCTTGGACACCAACCAGTGCTGCGAAATCCCCTCAACCTCGCTGGACATTGCTGCGTTGATCTTGTCTTGGCTGATGCTTACAGAGGAATTTGAAGACTCCAGAAGCGAACATTTTTTTTTTAGCAGATATTTATAGTTTTGTTGAAGATTCGAGTTGCACTCACTAACTTAGCGGTTTAGCTAGTCTAATATATCACTAACCCACGTGAATTCTTTGGTTGCTGTTTTTTCTACTCTTTGATTTATCGTGTCGAGATACACCTTCTCGGATTGTCGTTGCAGTTGCGGACATCTCAGCAATACGCACGCTGCGCACTACGCTGAAGCTCGCTAGCCAGTAGCATGTCAGGAGTGCCCCATGAGATGCAACGATCGCAGCTTCGGATCGATTAATGATAAACCGCGTGGAGCCCGAGAAATTTTCAGCGCTGAGCTTGTATGATGCGGCTCCCATACCACAATAGTGCGTTGCACAGACTGCGACGCCCATTATCAATGCACTACCTAGTCGTAGAAGTTCGCTATCTGGCATAAATGTCAACTGTACGGGATGTCAGTATTAATGACATCAAACCACTTTTGTCACCACTTACAGCTCGGAAAAGGATCCAAAAAGCAGCGTTGGCAGTGAAGAAGGCGATGAAGACCGATAGTGTTACAATTCCCGCGTTCAGCTCCATAGTGGCGTTCGTACGCTGCGCCATCATACCCAAGTAGTGCATTCCCAGAACCCCGAGCGCTGCAAATGCTCCCCCAAGCATAATGAGCGATAATCGCGAGAAAAGAGCGATAATCTGCAGAAAAGAATCGTTAGTAGTGCCCCTTCTCGTTAACTTTGCAACTGGCATGGCTCACTTTGATTCGGCGGGTGACAGCATTTCTATTCACAACCGCAGACATTTTCATGTTTTTTAAGTTTGCAGCCTAATTCACGCAGCAGAAATTAAACATATTCAACAGAACAACCTGCATTAGCCACATTAGAGACGCTTACCAGCATCTCTTTGCGTCGGGCAGCTTCCATTTCAAGGAAGTATGGATCCATGGACGCAATTTTTAGTCCGATGAGCACACCCAGCACCGCGAAGATGAAAGACAGGATCGTAAGACCCAACTCGAAGTCCATTTCGAGAGATGTTCCATCCTCAAATTCCAGCTTGAGTGCTGTCATGCCCGTGAAGTGCGTGCACCAAATACCGCACCCACCCAGTGCAAGGGCAGAGAGCGACAGCATAACCCGCTTGTGCACGACACCGTCGACACGACGCCAGTTCTCCATGAGCTGAATTGCTGCAATGTCAACAATAATCCATTGTGGGTGCTTGTTTGTCACAACTAAAGTATTATAGCAATAGCGTCACTCACTGCAGTAGCTCCCAGTTGTGGAGATCAAGTACGAGAGCAGGATCATGGACCATGACCAGAACTGATGAATACTCGAACCGACATCACTCGTCATTCTGCGCTCGCGTTGTTATGAAGACCCCCGTGTGCTGTATCTGCGCTCTTTCTTGATTGCACTGATATCTCAACTAAGCCCTAAGAATAACGCAGATATACTTGGTGTCTTGATCTTGTTGTGGTCGTCTCAAGATATATTTGGCCACCAAGACCAGCGCTTAAAAGACCAGCGAATCTACGCGTAGGATCCTTTAACTTGCTCCTTGTACATGCACTCCACGTACTTGAACGAGCCATCATGGCAGTGCCATGATCTCTCCTATTGAGTTCTGGTTGAAGTGCATTGGCCAATATCGTGCCATTTACGTGTACCACACACTGTGGTACCCCCGAAAGTTGTGGGTACTGGCTCAAATCGCACCCGATAATGGCGACAGAATCAGAAAGATTGTGCATGATTACTCTGCATTCCACCAATCATAGGCTCCACTTTTTGTTTCGACCAATCAAAAGCTGCTTAAAGAATGTATGCTCTCTCCCGATAAATTCAGCATTTCCCAGCCTGTAGATCATACGATTTGCAACCACTACATATCTCTAAAAGGGTAAATAAGTGCAACGGCGGACCACAACTTAAACGGGAGGTTCATATCGCATGTACCACACCTTCATCAATTCGTCAAAACAATGCCATTTTCATCCAATCACAACACTCCTTCCATCGTCTTCGAGAACACTGTTCGCTTGCAGTCACTAAGAAGCGTCAAGGCGGTTGGAAGCACGAGGAATCAAATCGACCTTGAGCGGTCTGTTGGTCTCATTGAAAGCGCACCCACCCCACCTACAACAGATACAGAACAGATACAGCCATGGCAGCGGGACTTCCAGACGACCTCGTGCTCGAATACGACATGCTGCAGCTCGTGGACGGCGACGACGTCTCGAACAGCTTCATGGACACACCAGCGTCCCCCGCGGCCTCGTCGAACGTCGAGGATCTGCTATCCAACTGCTCAGTGGGCGTGAGCATCTCTACGTCAGCTGCAGACGCTGCTGCGGCCTCTAGCGCCTCCTGCGCGTCGTCTGCATGCGCCTCAGGTGGCGCCGGCTGCTCGTCCGCCACTGCCACGAAATCCCCAGAAGCAGAGACCAACACTCATGACGAGTTTGCCGAGTTCCTATTGGACGGTGAGCAATTTCTGCGCGACATGGAGAAGGTAGTAAAATTAGACTTGGACGAGAATCAGAAGAATCAGACCGCACTCGAGCAGAGTGATGGTGCCATCGACCTGGACGCCTTCACGGACCTGGACATGCTGCCTTCGCCCTGTCCGAGCGCGCCCAGCACGTGTCCCAGCACAATGGACGGGTCTCCATGCAGGACGGACGTGGACGAGTTCGATGTCGAGTGTCCGTTGTTGACCGAGGAGCAGAAGGAAGAGGAAGCGGCCAAGAAGTATCATGAGGCGTTGATGGGCCACATTCTGCCTCCCATGTCTCCTCCCAGACTTCCACACACAAATTCAACGCTGTCAACGTCGTCTGAGACGTCTTCGCTTGGCCACACGACGGACGGGAGTGTGACGGCGTCGCCGTTGCCTTCAATGCCTGAGGAAACAGTGAAGGAGCCTGAACACTTGGAAACTCATGACGAAGAGGACGAGGAGATGGAGGAAGAAGCCATGGAAGTACGTGGAGATGTGTGATATTATGTTAGGGAGGGCTATTAACGCCGTTGTTCTTAGGACGAGATGGATTTGCTGGAGAAAGAAGCCAAGTATTTGGACGCACAGAGGGATTTCCTGCAGTCTCGTGCCAAGTCCAGTCGTCCTCAAAGGAAGAGTATTAAGCAGCGTCGTCCACGTGATACAGAGCAGACGAAACAGCTGGCAAAGAGTCAGGAGGACAACCAGCTCCTGAACGACTTGGTTGCACAACAGAAGGTTTATCAGGATAACTTCAAGGCCATGCTCGCATTCGCTCCTGTGAACGATGTGGTATGTGAACATTGCTATTGTAATTATTGAAGTGATAGATGTTCTAATTGTTATTTTCTAACGTGGTATTTAGCGTATGGCTTTGATGACCCCCATGGAGTCGTACATTCGTCTTGGCAAGGACTTTAACGAGCGGAGAAAAACAATTCTGTCTCTTCGTGAGGAGAAACTCGACATGACGTACAAGTTCATTGAGCAGAAGGCTGCGGGTCTGGATATCAACCAGCCGTACCAGTACTCCGATATGTTCGAGAAGTTCGGCAAGCACTACTGCGTCAACTTCGCCATTTCCAAGTACGATGGCGTGAGTGTCTTCCAGGTTGGACGCGCCATCTACGAACAGATTGCAGGCAAGGACGAGGCACTAAACAACGCGATGGGATCCACTACCATCCGCGAGTCGTTTGATACCATCAAATGTAACTTCATGCACCAGCGCATTGTGTCAAGTATGAACTGGGAAAATGAGGGCGAAGATGCCGAAAAGATGCCAGACATGGAGTCAAACGCCATTTTCTATTGCCGGTTTGGAGACAACTCCGCAGTCTTAGCTACAGATTACATCGATCAGGATGATCTCCACCCATACGACACATCAAATCGCATCCGTAAGGATGTTTCTAGCGGCGTGGTGCTGTCTGGCCACACGGATGCTGACGGCAAGAAGTTTGTCGTGATGAAGCGTTATTTGATGGCCAAGTACCACATGTACCCGCACAAGGTGTCGCAAGAACAACAAGATCGTTTCTTCGCCAGTATGCCCAAGTGCCACGACACAATGAAGACGCTCATCGTCGACCGGCTCCAGCGCAATGAGACGGGCTGTCCGTGTGCTGGTGAGGACTGAGCGGCTTCAGTAAATAACGACATTCTGGAGCTGGCAACCGAGAGGATGGGGCGACCATCTCGGTTTTTCATTTTTCTTCTTCTCACATCTCCAAATGCGTTCTCTGGTCGCGTCGTGGACATCCGTTGAAGCCGAACCAAGGAGCAGGACCAGGGACTGTGCTTTACATCTGGAGCGAGTGACTACCGATAATTATGTGGCAGCTGCTGTTAAGCGCTCCTTGCGTCGAGTTTTGTCTGCATGACAGCTCACCCGCTATGATGAATAAAAACATTCATTGGATTTGGCCAGTTCTTCTACATGCAGTCAAAACTTTTGCATAAAAATCACTCGAAATGACATTTTCTTATCTTGTTAGCCAATAAGAGCGCTTTATCATAACATACACCAATCATATTGTGTAGAAAGATTGTAAATAGACTGAAAATGTCACGTGCCTCATAAATGGAATTTGCGCTGAACATGGGTGTGGAGCTTCCTGCCGACTTGGTGCGCGACTATGACATGCTGCAGCTCCTGGACGAGGACGACGATGTCCCTTGCAGTCCCTCAGCCAAGCCAGTATCCCCACTCTCGTATCTAGAGCTTGAAATACCTGCAGACTGCCCCATGAGCGACGACACTAGCTCCTCCACGTCTTCACCCGCTCAGTCTCCGAAATTAGGAGAATTTCTACTTGAAGACGAGCTGTTTCTAAAGGACATGGAGCAACATGATGATGCAATCAACCTGCCGGACCTGGACATGATGCTGCCTTTAAGTCCACGCGCAACCTCGTGGCTCGACGCACTGCCGGACCCTCCGTCCCCGTCATGTAATACGGACGAGGAGCTGGAGAGCCCGTTGGCTGTACAGCAGTTGACTCCAATACCAGTATCTCCACTGAGTCTGATACACGGTGATTCGTCATCATCGGACGAGTCTGATAATACTGAATCTCCTGAAGATGGAGAAACTGAATTATTAAGGAGAGAAGTGAAATATTTGACGGCGCAGAAGGACTTTTTGGAATTTAAAGAGAAGAAAGACAAACCACGACGCAAAGGTGTCAAGGACAGAAGAAAAGAACGGGATATTGCGAGCGAATTGAAGATGCTTCTCAAGAGCCAGGAGAACAATCAACTGCTGAACGGACTCACCATGCAGCAGAAAATGTATGCGGACAACTTCAAGGCTTTGTTGACTTTCGCACCAGTGAACGATGTGGTACGGCGGAAAATGCTATTTTCTATTGTATTTTTTTTTTACTAATGGAGTTTATTGTTTGTGAGCAGCGGATGTCATTGATGACGCCGTTGGAGTCGTATATTCGGCTTGGAAAAAACCCAAATGAACGGAAGAAGACTATCCTTTCGTTGCGGAAGGAGAAACTGGACATGACGTACAAGTTCATTGAGCACAAGACACAGGACATGGACTGCACCCAGCCTCACGAGTTTTCGGATGTGTTTGACAAATTCGGCAAACACTACTCCGTGAATTTCACTATATCCAGATACGACGGAGTGAGCATTTACCATGTAGCGCGCGGTATCTACAACCAGCTCACTGAAAAAGACGAATTGTTAAATGATGCGATAGGGATTACTGCGTCGCGAGAGGTAAGTTTTGTTAGGGTACTTCCGGACTTGATCAAAATGCACTGACTTAAGGTTGTCGGCAGTCCATTGGTACGCTCAAGTGCAACTTTATGCACCAGCGCATTATCGCGAGACCGAACTCAGACAAGTCAGTCAAGACACCCGACTTGGAGTCGAATGGCGTTTTTTACTGCCGGTTCGGAGATAACTTGGCAGTGCTAGCGACTGACTATGTTGACCGAGACGAATTACATCCATACGATGAGTTGAATCGCATTCGAAAGGATACGTCAAGCGGCGTGGTGCTCACTGCCCACGAAGATGCAGACGGCAAGAGATATGTGGTGATGAAGCGATATACGATGACTAAGCTCCACATGTACCCGCACAAGGTCTCTCAGAAGCAGCAAGATCGTTTTGTCCGCAACATGGTCCATTCCCACGACAATATGAAGAGACTTGTTGTAGACCGCGTACTGCAACGTAGTGATACTGGGTGCTCGTGTACGGGCAATACGACGAGTTGTTGCTGCGCTAGTGATGAGGCCAGCATTCCTTGTGGAGGCCACCGTACCGCACAAGTGTCTATATAATTTAATCATGAATTCATATTCTAAAACTGCAGCGCCACACATGAATAATTTAAAACACCCTTTGTCTAGCTTACAAGACATTTTGCTCCGAACGTTGGCGCAAGGCGCATTACGAGCGATAATCTTTTTCAATGGAATGGAAAGAAGTTAAATAAAACTTTGTGATCACGTCACCTGTTCAGATTACTTTTTTGAGCCATCGAATTGACTGAATATTCAACAACTTATGGTCCTTATCTCCCTTCCGAGCTCACTTCGTTGTCTGATTAGTTAAAAATTGATCTGTCTGTACAAATTAGAGTACAAAATCGGTTTGATTCTCATGTGCAGAAATACTCGAATGTATAACAGCAATTAGTTATAACCTATATTTAAGCTGTAAGATCCATGGTCGCACGAATTTTTGTACATGTAGTGTGTCGTAATTTTCTGTCGTTATTTGGTAAAGTGATCGGGTAGGTAGCCTGCAACGGACGAGATTTGGTGAAGTACACTAAAGTTTTACCGGGAGGGATACGGAGTATCCTATAGGACATTATATCGTTTCAAAATGTCGACTGAGTTACAAGGAGACCTTCAAGGAATATTCTGCTTGGACGACCTTCGTTCAACTTGCCGCGCGTGCCACGGAATATGATGGCCAGGCCCTAACGCATATACGTCAACGAGAACTGCCAAGTACTACTCAAGTACCTTACAAGGAACGATGTCTTCGACATCAAGAAAAGAAAGGCTCTCGAAGGATTCAATGCGTACGCGTGGCAAACCGCGACTATAAATGAAGTCGCACTCGCATCAAGTTCTCCTTCGAGGGAACACTGCCAGTCGGCGTCTTCGAGATCGAAAATCTACCAGTTATTTTTCTGGTTGCCATCTTGGGCTAGCTGTTCTCGAACAGCGTTGTCTTAAATATTTTATATCTAATTCAATGAGGGACATTGCATTGGTGAAAGACGCTAATAGTGTTTAGCAGCTGTAGTTCCTCACGTAGTGATGACATGCAAGTCATATCGAATGGTTCTGGCGTCTTCTTGTCCCGCTTGAAATTTTTACGGAATAAAATGTTCCAGATTTGTTTTCATATGGAACCCAATCCGATTTATTTATACGATTGATATTTTTGCATACAGGAAGAAGTCCTACACTATCACCAATTACTGGGGGCCGGTAAAAAAAAATGTTATTCTGTTCTCTGAAATTTATTTCAGAGTTAAGAAGGGATCCGATTCGAGGTATTATTCTTTCAGCTATTAAAGTCCTGTCTAAAGCGATGCCGATTAGAAATATAGGCATAAATACTATAAGTAATATAAACCTCTGATCTTTGATGTTGATGTGAAACTGATAAATTAGCTGAATGTTACCTGTGTCGTCCGGACCGAGTACTAATAATATTACGCAAGGTTGCAAGAAGGTGACCGGCTCATAAGCTTCATTGATAGAAATATAAATATAAAACCTACTCTACTCCCGCATCGGTGCATGTAACAGCCTCTTCACTATGATACATTCAACTTGACTGCCGCTGCGTCAGTGGCTAGGAAAGGGTGATAAAAGCAACTAGCAGATGCTGCGGCTGCGAAGCAGGCGCAGGAGATGCGTCGTCAGGTATCCTCCGTAGGTTTGCTAAATTTCAGAGCTTCATCGGGCAAAGCA